CAAGGATGGAGTCCTCTGAGGCATGAAGGTTTCAGAGGGCTGTGAGGCGGAAGCGGTGCCACTCTGCAGCCGGTTGTAGCCGCCGTCGCTCAGCCCTGGGTAGCTCTGCAAGGCGGCCATGTTGCTTCTGGCACACGGGGGATAATCAGACAGGTTGAGGTTGCAAAGCTGGCTCTCCCGGCAGCCAACGTTGAAAGTGTTGGGGGCCAGATGAAAGGCTGGAGGGGAGCAGGATGGAGAGAGAAGGTGAGAGGAAGCAGAGGGCGATGGGGTTCCCGTGCTGGAGGTGGTTGGGGAGGTGCCTGTGCTGCCTCCTGCAAAACAAAACACATGGGGAGATGTTCAGAGCCCGGGACCACATCTGCAAAACAAGACAGTCTCATTAAAAAACAGCTTAATTTAATAAAGAAACAAGGGTGGTAAAATGGCTGCTGGAAAACTCAGCCTTTCTTGGCAAGATCCCTCACTTTATTAATAGCATCCTTTGGTCTTTCCTGCTGCTTTTTTGTTATGATTTTGATTTTCAGTGGAGATTTTCTTCCTTTTTAAAATAGAAGAGGGAAGCAAGCATGCCGCAGAGAAATCAAAGGCAGTAGGAAAAGCTGCAAGGAAGCACCGCTCCACCAGTCAAGAGATCTGCCATTTCCAGGCATGTTTATCTAGTCCTTTTTTTAAAAAGAAAAAGCATTGTTTCCCTCTCCTGGTCTGCAGGAAGACCACCAGGCAGTGGGCTCCATGGCCCCGCTACAAACATGCTTTATCATCCGCTCAAGGGGCTTGTGGTGGGAAGCGGTTGAAAGCACGTTGGGCTTCGGCACGGTTCCACATTTTATTTCGGATGGCTCATGGTGCAGCGGTGCTGATTTAAGGCAGAAGTGACACTAAAATGAAGGGACACGGTCTCAAGATATAGCCTGTTCCATCGAGCAGAGAACGGGGATGTGTCAGGATTTTCAATCGTGTTCTTCAGCTTTAAAAGGGATTCCATATGTTGTATCACTGGTGTTAACAAAATATTGATATATACGCATGTCAGAAGTATCAATGTATTATACATTATTTATGCTACGTATGATAGAATTTATTATTTTACACAGCAGGGATGCTCACGTGTTCTGACCCGGGAAAACAATACAGCAAATTGCCACCAAGAACAGTAACAAATTGAGAGTAAGTGATAGGAAGAAGCTGATGGCACAGTTTTGAGCTTGAAAAGAGATTATTTAGAGGCAAGATTCTGATTTAGAGGAAACTTCCTTGGTCAACCAGGAAAATCAGTTCTGTCCTTAAGGGAATGAAGCATGAAACATTTTTTTTCTTTCATTTGAATGATTGCCTTTGCATGACATCCCATTTCTGCATTAGGGCAACCAACACTGAAGACTCTTGTAAAGGAAGCAAAGAGGTGACGGTGCAGAGATTTGAGCAGGGAATAAGTAGAACCAGAAGAACTAGGAAGACAACTGGTGAGACAGCACCTTGGACGGGCTAGAGGGTGACAGGTGAGAGGCAAAGGGACTGGAAAAGAGGACATTAGAGTGGACAGCTGAAATTCAACCAAGGTAGAGATTGCACATTGAGGATCAAAAGTAAGGGACAACTTTCTCCTGTGTCACCTTGTAGGAAAAAAAAAAAAGAGGATTTAGGGACCAGTCTAAGTCTGCTTCAAAATGGGGAAGGAACTGAATGCAGCGCTGCTTGATGAAAAGAAAATAAGTTATGCTAATAGTTAAGAGATGCCATAGAAAGACAGGTTCTGTGTCAGTATGTGATGGTGAGAATGTAAATGAGGTTGTATCTCAGTACAGGAAAGACATGGACCTGTTGGAGTGAATTCAGAGGAGGGACACAAAAAGGATCAGAAGGAAGGAACACCTCTCCTAGGGGGACAGGCTGAGAGAGTCGGGGTTGTTCAGCCTGCAGAAGAGAGGCAGGCAGACAGCTGAGTTCATGTATCAGAAGTTATCTATCAAAGCTCAAAATACAGAGGCCACATAATCACAAAACAAATACAGCACAGAGTGAGATGTATTGAACCCGCAGTAATTCCACACTTAAATCTTTACACCACATATTTCATGAACAAACTTCAGATGGTGACTTACTTGCTGGCAGTGTCTGGAGAATAAGTAAAAATACATATGTATAGATGTATGAGCATTTAATGATCTGTTTGAAATAAAATATGTAGAATAAATTATTAACTACAATGTCTTCATTTCAGTCATCCTTTACCCCATAGTTAACCTTTTAAAACTATGCAGGAGAAGAGCACGCACACCAGTTACCTCTAACTTTAGGATTTAAACATCTGCTAAGGAGTTACAATGGAGTTGATACCCACAGCTGAAGCTTTGTCTCCACAGAGAGTAAGTAGGGATCTCTGATTAACAATTAGAAGGTATTCTTAATGGTTTCAAAACTGAAACACTGAATTGTACATTTCAGGTTACCCCAAATGAAGGACTAAAGAGATTCCGCTCTCAATTTTCCCTATTTGCTGGCCAACTGAAAAACCCTCAAATGAAAACACAGTAATTAAGAAAAAAAGCAAAAATATGTTTTTCTTTTTCTCCATAACTTTAAAATATTGAGGAGGTGAGAGTTCTATCAATGGGAGCAAATGCCAGACCTGACATGTGTCTTTCAAGAAAGCTTTGCTGCAAATGACAACCATAAGTACAGGACACACCACAATTCTGAAGCCTGAAGGTCCTGACCGTTTGCAGAATCATCTTTAAACCTTTAAGTGGAATGGGAAACAAGTCAAAGCAAAGCCCATCTCAGCTTACCCTCTTCAGAAGGCAGACAGCTCTACTCCGCTCTGAACGATCCATCTTTGCTGGCAGCACTAAGTATGGGCCAAACACAACCTGGACTTTTGTGAAGTTATAAATTGGACTGTAGCTGTTACAAAGTCAGCCAAATACCCCTAGAGATGGCAGCAAGCCCAGCAAGTATATCCACACCACACAACAATCTCAGATACACAGATGTGTATGTCGTTTTAATGGAAGGCATGGATACAAACCAATCTAGTTAAACTGATACACAAGGCTATGTTTATGTCTGGTTTAAGTCAAGCGAAACCACATTTAGGGAAGAACAAAATGAATCCCTCAGTAATCTTCCTCTATTCCTTTTCTCTACTCGCTATTGCCCCAGAAATAATTGCCAGCATCTACAGCATTTATTTACCATGAATGTCCCAGTATCTCTCACCTCCACTCTTACCATGATTCCAGAGGGATTAATTGCTATTGTGTGCAGTTTTCTGAAGATCATTTCTGGCCCTACATACATCAGCCCTAAGCATGTGCAATTAGCAAGTCACATTTGTATAAAATGCAGGGTTCATAACTTCAGGTGCCCCTCTTCTGTATCTGAACCCTGCCCTGCACGGCAGATGAAGGTGTCCATCCTCACAATGTCCTGCCATTATGTCCAGGCCTTAGCCAACCTCTGAAAGGAGCCTGCTCTCTGCCTGAGCATGCAAGTGATAACTAATTTGACCTTATCAAAGGGACAGAGCATTTCCAAAGAGGAGTGAAGAATGATCTTGTGCATGAAAGGTCTAAAAATACAAACTGGACCAAGAAATAAGAAATCTTTGGTAGAGAAGGGAGGTGGGAAAAAGAAGCATGAAATCATGGTGGAAGGCAGGGAAACCCTGTGGAGAGGGTGGGATGTAAAGGCAAACCTTCTTCCTCATGCCAGCATTCCCTCTTGTGAACACCGTATAGAAATGCCAGCTGTGCACCAGTATCAAATACCTGCCCACAAGGATTAGGGAAGAAACCACAACTTCTCATCTGATACGGACAAGAACTGCCATTAATATTGAAGCAGCTTATGACGGGTCTTTCCTTCCTGCCATCTGTGTCCTTCTAAGCTTTGGTAATGGTGCTGTCTCTATGTTCCCAATAGACACTTGGTTTTGCTTTTACCTATACTGATCTTGTGTTAAGAACAATTTCAGGGTAAACTGCAAACCCAAACATACCCAGTCCACAGGTATGAAGGGTCATAAAATGAGGGTCTACGGTATTCTTGAAGCATTCAGCATGCCAGAGTGCCTGAAAGGCAAAGGCGTCCTCTTCCACACAGAGCAGGTAACGTAGAGAACTTCTAACACTGCAGTGTAGATGGAAAACACATCTTCCAGCAACCAGTGCTAGCCAAGGGAGCTTTCTGGCAACAGGGAAGTAGGGGGGAGAGCATCAGTGCCAAGGGAGCCTGAAGCAATTGTGTATGGAAAAATTTCTGGGATCTCTCTTATAAATGACACCACATTAGTCAGTTGACCCACAACTTATCCCAACCTCCTTTATCTGAAATGTGCACATAAATCACACTTTGGACTCAACCGCAGCGTGTGTTCCTTGCTAATGTTCCCAGGCATTGGTTGCTACCAGCACCTGCAGTGCCTCCGTACAAACCCCTCAGTCCTTGAAGCCCTTGCTGAGTGCAGAGGTGGAAAGCAAAAGCAAGCTGAAGCTGCAGTCAGCACAAGAGATCTGAACATGAGGGCCATGCCCCGTGCCACTGTTAGAGTCTCATCACACAACTACAGGCAAGAGCTTTAGAGTAGTTTGGACGACTTGACCTCTGCCGTTATCTGACCACATGAGTAGCATCCAGCTCTTGGTGTGGTTGGGCTCAGAGAGTGGCAACCTGGTATTTACCATCTCACTGAGAACAGGCATGGCTGATGGTCTTCAGAGCTTGTGCCTTGACTTTCTAAAAAGGATGGGAACTTTGCTTACGGTGATTTGTCATAAGATTTTGCATTTTGATGTGTCAGTTCTTCTTTGAGCACCTACAAGCTAGTTCAGCTTATCGTGGCCACAGACACAGGCTGGAGGGTCCGATGGGAACTTTGCTTACGGTGATTTGTCATAAGATTTTGTGTTTTGATGTGTCAGTCAGCATGAAGTTGTTCTTCTTTGAGCACCTACAAGCTAGTTCAGCTTATCGTGGCCACAGACACAGGCTGCAGGTTCCCCATGACCAGCCTACAGCTCAGAGGCTGTACTCAGCCTTAGCCCAGACACTTTCTCCCACTTTCAGTTGTGAGCAGGACCCAGCAGGAAGGCCAGATGCTTGGGAGTGATTGGTGCACAGCCTTGCTGGTCACTCTCCTAGAGGAGCCACAGCCCCTCTTCTGACACACACCCAAAACATCAGCATCTTCACCATATGACAGACCTGTGTCCCAGCACCTGAGGGTGTGGGAAAGAGGGGCTGTGGCCACTGGTCGTTCATCTACTTCATGGCTCTCCTCCTGGTGCTTTGCTTCAGCTAATAAGCCCTC